CTCCTTCGAAACCAATATTATTATAACTAATATCTAAAGAAGTCAAAGTAGTATTTTTGCAGAGAATTTCAGATAATGCTTTTCCTCCTTCGGAATCAATCTGATTTGAACTTATATTCAAGGAAGTCAAAGTAGTATTTTGATAGAGAACATCAAATAAAGCCTTTTCTCCTTCGAAACCAATATTATTATAACTAATGCTCAAAGAAACTAAGGAAGTGTTCTTGAGAAGAGCCATTGCTAACACCATTACACCTTCAGGACCAAGCTGATTATCATCAACATTTAAAGAAGTCAAAGTACTATTTTTGTAAAGGGCGTCAGCTAAAGCTTTTCCTCCTTCAAAGCCAATCATATTACTACTAATGTTCAAAGAAGTAAGGGAAGTATTCTTGAAAAGAGCCTTCGCTATTGCTTTTCCTCCTTCAGGACCAAGCCGATTATTATGTACGTTTAGAGAAGTTAGAGTAGAATTTTCGCAAAGAACATCAGCTAATACCACTCCTCCTTTAGAATCAAGATGATTTCCTACAATATCTAAATAAGTTAAAGTAGTGTTTTCATAGAGAGCCAAAATAAATAGCTCCATATCTTCATCACATAATCCATTATTGTCGAGTTTTAAACTATCTAAAGTAGTATTCTTGCAAAGAGCATTCGCTAATGAATTTGCTTCTTCAGGAGAAAGGTAAAAATTACAAGATAAAGATGCCAGATTTGTGTTTTTATAAAGATTTTCAGATAATAAATTTATAATAAGTTTAGAAGTATCTTTAGAATTTTTCACATAACACCTTATAAAAGGAGAAGTACCGCAGCGAAAGCTCTCTGATGTAACTTCAATACATTTAATTCTATTACTAGTTCGTAAAAGCACAGAGATAAACAAACTATTAAACAAATCTAATTCATTAAAATTTTCAAATTTTTCTAAAAATACTCTGATTTTGTGAAATAATTTATATTTATTTATATTCAAGTATGTAATATATTTTGTATACTCAAATAATGGTTTTGAATCATTCGGGAGCATTATATTGAATGGAATTAATAAAGCTTGTTCTTCAATGTTTAATAGTAACATACATGTTCTTATAAAGGTTTCATTAATAGAAGAATCATCTATTTTGCTCCACAATGTGGGTACAACATATCTACACCATTGACGGTTTACAAGAAGGCACGAAAATAGGCATTTACGGTTAAGGTTTTTTAATACTTCAAAAAAACATTCGCTAGGTAATTCTATATCCATTTTGTGTAATAAAAAAAATTTTTATTTGCGTGAAATTGGAATTTGGGAGGGTCAATTTTGAGTTTTGTCAATTGTTCTGGTTTTTAAATTATTTGTGTGTAATACAAACCAAAAAAAAAACTTATGTACGTGTAATACAGTATAAAAAATAAACTAGGTACTGTATGTATTGTACGTACTGTACATACGTACAGTAAATACGTATATGCAATAGATATCTGATATGGGAGTAATATATTTAAAATTTCGTTCCGATCATTTTTAATTAGTAGACTAAAGTCGATTTAAACATTAATTTTTAAGTATTTTCGCTTTGTTCTTTTTTTCGCATCCTATTTCGGTTCTTTTTTAGGATTGTATGAGTTCCCTCAAAAAGTGCGATCAACACGGCCGCAGAATATCGATTTTGAACGACGATCAACAAAAATCGCCCATAACTCAAGATTTTGCTTATAAAACTGCTTTCTGCGCCCTAATAAAAAAAATTCCTTACAAAATTTTGGTATATATAATGCTTATTTAAAGTCGCTAACATTCACCTAACCTTAATGTCAAAAGTTATTTTATATATATTTTAATAGAGAAATGATCCGCAATAATCTCAAAATAGAATCACCCACATGGAAAAATTATAACCAAATTTTAATACAATACGTCACAATGTTTTGAGTTTCACCTACACATTTATTTCATTCATGCAATTAGAACACAATCGTTAAGTGAATAATAAATCGAATAAATTATAATTAACAACATTTGCGTCATGTCTTTTCAAAACTGTAAATCACTCTAAAACCTCTTTACAACATTATAAGGATTATTATTGCTATTTTAATTTAGTTGCTTCGAACTTATTTATGAAGAGATAGTTCAAATGTACAGGCGTACATGTATAGTATATGACTATTTTGCATTAATAGTTTATAATTACTGCATCCATAGTTTATAATTTTATATTACTGAATAGTGACCAAGTCAGACTTAATAATGGTACACCATTAATTTAGGCTGATTGATTTATACTTGCTGGCAAAAACCTGGACAAATCCGATACCTCCCAAAACAAACTAATCTATCTATAAAAAATTAAATCAAAAAAATAATAATCTTGATATTTTGCAAATATATTATAAAATATATACCATTTGTTTAAATGAAGATTGTTAATAAAGTTTTTGAGATATCAATTTGACCAGAGTTTGGGATGTGGGCGGCAAGTATAGCTTGATTTGACTGAATTAGCGTTTCTTATTATTCTGGAGCTGCTGATATTTCTTGGTTGTTCACTATAATATGCTTGTCACATGTATGTTTCAATTAACCCTATAATGTCAAGGTTGTAGTTAATTGCGCAATATTTATACTGTAATGGAATTTGCTAATGATCAACCAAAAGAAATGTAAAGTATTCTCATCATGCGATAATTCAAATATGTTAGTGATGAATATACTTTAATAAACACTTTTCATAACTTGTAATATGTAATCGCATGCTTTATCGTTTATTTACTATTTTAACGCTTAATTTATTATCCTCATTAACAACTTATCCATTTGTTCAAAGAAATACATAACACACATACGAATAGTTGTCATTAAAATGGCTGTTTCTATTATGTTATACAATATTGAATTTGTAACACCGCAAGGTAATAGCGTGATGATTTTATATTTGTAAAGCTTTCATGCATATTCATTTGTGACTTCATTTTTCGTGTGATGGAGAATTCTATGTGCAGTATTTATACATAAATATGTGCTCTATTTCGATCACTAGATCAAATCTGGGAAAATTCTTGAGAATGTCCTATATGTCGAATTGCACATGACAATAAATTTAGATAGCTAAAAATTTATATTTAAATAGCTATATAAATATATGACTCCATGATTTTTGTGAGGATAAAAATTTAGAGATTTTAGGTTGTCAATTAATCATAATATTCATATTTATCTAATTCGTGATCTCTATATCTTTTTGGTGCCGGTTATGGTTATAACTAGTCATTAACTGGTTATAAGCGTCCATCTTAACATTAGGCCAGAATACTTCGCTTTTATACAAAATTGAAGCTTGGTTTTCTTGAGTTAGATTTAGGTTCGAGTCGGATCGACTTAATGATTAAAATCACTAGCGTTAGTGAAAAGTCAATTAATCAGCAATTAGTTGATTAAGAGTGTATCGCATAATATATATCTATAGAAATGATCTAGAAAATAATTTTATTACGTATAAAAGCTAAAATTTTATTAATTAACTAATTTTTATATATTAAGTAAAGTTACTCAATGACAAATTACATATCGATGCGTATGTTCTAAAATTTTTATTAAAATGGTTAAGATTTTATATTAGGAAATTTTATCAAAAAGTTAACGGTGAAACTCTTATTATATATTCTATTAGCGAATGTTTTAATATAAAAACTTTTGCTAATCTTAACCGATTTTAATAAAAAATTTTAGGACATATGTAATTTGTTATTGCGAATAACTTTACTTAATATATAAAAATTAGTTTACTTTGTTAAAAATTATTTTTATACAGTATATCCAGGGTTGGTCAAATTACTGGTCGACCAAAAATTCATTGGTCAAACTGGTCTGGTCAAATTGGTCAAATGGTCTATCTAGTCTATTAATATATATGAGTGTTGCTAACTTGCCCGCCTGGTGATGTTAACCACCCTACGATTTACCAATCAGATCGTGGGATCTTGCGTAACAAAATAAAGAAATTTTTAAGAAAAAAATTAAAAAATTTTCAATACCGCAAAATTTTATTACAAAAACTAGCTTTGGGCTATTAAGTAAAGGTCTTCAGGATCTAATTTTACATATAAATAATTTATATTCTGATAATATAGTCTGTATCCTAACTCTAATCTTTAAAGAATAATTTATTTACACAGTATAAAAAATTCTATAAAAATAAAGGGTAGTTAAAATTTATAATTTTAATCAAGAGTTAAAATTAGTTAAATTATATATATAAATATAGTATATATATTTAAATATCCTTTGACCAATTTGACCAATACTAAACCCTTTGACCAACTGGTCAAATTGGTCAAACTGGTCTGGTCAAACTGGTCTGGTCAAGCTTGACCATTGACCGGTCCATGCCAACCCTGATAATATAGTATTTTTTCAATAGAAAAATAATATTACTAATATAATTAAATTAATAAATATATATTAAGCTAAAAAAAGTTTTTGTTTTAGATATCAAAATAATAAAATTTTATTAAATTTTTTAAATTTGTAAGTTTGTAATACTATTATGTATTTTTTATACTTAATAGCTAAAGAATTTTTAAATACTTTTAAATTGAGATTTATAGATAGTAAAAAAAAAATCATTACAACATCTGTTATTATAAAAAAAAATTAAGTTTTTTGCTAGTAATTAAAGATCAAACTTTATCAATATCAATAATATTAACACTATATTTTTACCGAAAAATTTTTAATTAAAAAAATTTTTCGAATATATATATTTATTTTTATATTAATAAAGCTAGCTCTGATAGCATACAGTATATAATCATAATTACTTTTGTATATATATATTTTGTAAATTTATTTTATTGTATTGTTATTAATATATAGTATATAAAATAATGACATTTAATTAAAGTTTCAATAAGCTTTAATAAAATAGGTAAAAGCAATAATTGGTTTAATTATTTTTAAATGCATCTAGATCCTAAACAAGAATTATATAACCTAAATATTAATAAATCTATTGAATTTTCTTTGCATTTTTAGGTTTAGCTTCAGCTTCACGCTTACGATCAGCCCTAAAGAAATTGGCAAATAATCCCAACATGGTCCACATATAAATCCAAAGTATTAAAGTTAAACCAAATGGATATGTTTCTTCAAGTTCAGGATGTAGTACTTTGAAATAATAGATATCATAAGAAGCTTGAATCATCATTAATGTGAATTGAGTCATTTGGAACAAGGTTATATAACGCTTAATGAATCGAATTGGAATTGAAAGGGTAGTACTAAGGTAATAACCATACATTACAACATGAACGGCTGCGATTAAAAAAAAATAAGAAAAGAGAAATGAATGAGAATATGGTATAAAAAATAAAATTAGAAAAGTAAATGAATAAAGTAAAATATTATAGATAAATTATACCTGAGTTCAAAGCAGCACTGAAGTAAGCTTCACCAGTTGGGGCGACATAGGTAACCCACCACCAAATAATAAATATGGAAGTGTGGTGGTAAACATGTAAGAAGGTGATTTGATGATTATTCTTTTTTAATACCATAATGAACGTATCCATAAACTCGGCAATTTTCGAAACGTAGAATAACCAAACATATTTCGCCATCTAGTATTATATATGCATTAGATAAATAATTTCATCGATCATTTATTCATTGAAGAAATAGATTTTCTACCTGAAAACCTTTCTCGGATCTATCCTCAGGATTAGTAAACAACGAATATCCTTGTCTCCAAGCTTCATATAACGTGGTTGTACACATATAAGCACTCAAAGTAACCAAAAAAAAATTATGAACAATACTCAAATTTTTAACAGAAACTTTAGTACGATTTGCCATAATTTGTTTTCCCGTGAATACAATTGTTAAATATGCAAGACAAAACATTAACACATGAAAAGGATTCATTAATGGTAATCGTGATGTAAATGGAGATTGACTTGAGTCCAAAAATTCCACTGCGTCGTTATAAAAAGATGGAAATAAGATTTGTAAACTTGATTTAACCACATTTTCTAAAGGAGTAATGAGGGGATCACAAATTTTTCCAAATATTTTAGCAAATTCTATGAAAAGGTCAACCGGTATTGAAATAAGGTTATTAGAAGACATGATAAACTTGACAAATTTATTGATTGCTCTCTCTTTGAAATAGATGAATGTGTGTGATCAGCGGTTTATGGTTAAAGAAAAAAAAAAAAATGAAGATGCGATATTCGATTTAATTAATATATCGGTATTTATCAAGTTACACCAATTCCTAAATATCAACTTTACAATACTGTTTTTATAAACAATACTAAGATTTATTCAGGTAAAAAAAAAATTTTGGGGTTTATATTAATTTGTATTATCATTATGCACATCCACTTTCCATTCACGTATTTAACGTTAAGGATAATATAAATTTTTCAGTTGATAAAGCATTTAATTGGTGTTGACGGATTATTAGTAAACGATAAGAACAATGAATTTTTAAATAAGTAATTATTTGATTATCTAATAACGATAACGTTAATTAGTAGTTGTATAATTTTAAATTTTTTTTTAACAATATCAAATCTATATAGTACGTAAATGCTATTACAATAAGATTTTATATAGTAAAGATATATCGATACGTATCAACATCAGATTTTTTTTATATAAGTTAGTATGCAGCCAATTACTAACATCTTTTATTCGACAAAATCTGCACTAAAAAAAATTTCTACAATACACAGTAATTGTAATGGTAATAGAACAAATAGAACAAATAGAACAGATTTTTGTTTTTTTTTGCGTAGTTGTAAATTTAACAAAGTAAGTTCAATTACAGCAGTTTTACTATAGCAAAGCATTATATTATAATAATAATTATCTATTGTGTTCTCATGACTTTAAAAGTTATTATATAATAAGTAATAAAATGAGGAATAATTTAAAATTTAAGTTTGCAATCGATTAAAATTTTTGTAGTACATTCAATATCTTTTTTGGTTTAAATATAACAAGGTTCATACACTATAGGTGGATGTTGAAGTGGGATATGATATTGTAATTCGAGAATGGTTAATTGTTTTCAATAATTTCAGATTTAAACGATAATTTGGATTTGAATAAATATAGCATTCATTTACCTGATAATGGATGATACGTATTATATGTAAATTCGTAAATTCTATTTTTTTTACTGTAACATTTAACGAGTAAATTTCGAGAATGGTGATTCGGGTTCGATAATTTTGGTTTTAAATGAATCTTAACGTTAAAGTTTATAGCATTCATTCAAAACCGAAATCACTGACGATGGATCAATCATTCACAATTGCATAAGTATAGTATTCTTCCGATGGCCAATGAAAACTTTAAAGAAAACTAGGAAAACTAGTAAATGCATAATGTTTTATGATATACTTTCATTTATTACTTTTATATGATAAAAATTTTAAATATAAAATTAAAAATATAAATTCTTATAAAATAAATAAGCAATTTTTCAAAATAAATCTTGCTTCAACCCAATTTCTTTAATCGACACCAACTAATCGACGAATGACAATTCTTCCAAAATAAATCACACCAATTTCTTAAAATAAAACTAGAATGGTTCGAGCCTTTGAGTTTTCTGTGGAATTTCTGACAGATTAGGATTTTATTCTTTCAAAATAACTAATTTTAGAGAGATTATAGTGGTATTCTTTACTATATTTACTATATTTACTATATTTACTATATTTACTATATTTACTATATTTACTATATTTACTATATTTACTATATTTAC